GGTACACCCCTTGCTCATTTTATTTATTACTTGGAGATAGCATCTCACTAAGTTTCCAAGGTCGGCCTCCACGAACTTGGGATCCTCCTGCCTCAGCCTTCTGAGCCACTCTATTACAGGCACGTGCCACCTCCAGCTGAGAGCTGACCTCCAATGACAACTTTTCACTACCCTAAGCCAAGGTAGACGAACGGCCTAATCGGGCAGGTTGGAACAAGGCATCCAAGACCCTGGCTTCCCTGTGTGCCAGGCATGGGACCCATTTGGAAGTTGATACTTATGAGGGCCTTTTCCTAAGATTCTCCCCACCCAATGCTTCACCCCGGGCCTCTGGAGGCCTCTGAGCATCTCCAGAAGTCACCCTTGAGAGTACAGGGATATTTTGCGATTTGTAATACCCTAGCCTGTAAGGCTGTGTTTATGATCAGAAAAAAAACACGGGGTCGCAAACCTTATTTGCCAATAAAATCCTTTCTTTTCAAATATATATTTTAGATATTGATGGACTTTTATCTTATTTATTTATTTATATATGGTGCTGAGAATCGAACCCGGTGCCTCACACATGCTAGGCCAGCGCTCTATCACTGAGCCCCAGCCCCAGCCCCCAAATCCTTTTTTTTAAAAAAAAGTCATTTAGTAGCCCTGTCATATTCATCAAAGAATCCTCTGATTTAGCTGTGTATGAGGGTGCATGCCTGAAATTCCAGTCTCTTGGGAGGCTGACAAGGGAAGATTACAAGTTCAAGGCCAGCCTCCGAAACTTAGCAAGACCTTGTCCCCAAATAAAAATAAAAAGGGTTGGGGATATAGTTCGGTGGTAAAACACCCCTGGGTTCAATACCCAGTACCAAAAGTAAGAAAATAAAAACGACTTGCTTTTTTCATCCATGAAATGGGGTTATTTACAGAGTGTATCTCGGGGGAATGTTGGATAGATTAGATTAGCTATTGCATAATTACTAATTAGCATGGGGGCTCAATAAACGATTCATATTATTTGCAGACTGAAACGCACCACCTTGGGCTAGTGACCCTCTTCACTGCACAAGAGACCTCTGGCTCCTTCTCACTCGAATGCCAACCCCCTTCTACTGTGCCCTCTCTCCAAGTCCCTTCCTGAGACCTTTTCTGAGGTCTCAACATGGGGTGGGGGGTGCTGAGTTTTTTCTCCTTTGGGCCTCCCACAACTGTTTCCATGAGATAAAAAGCAGAGGTTGACTGAAGCCCAGGGCCGAGACTCAGGGGAGCTGGGGCTAGGGAACAAAAAGAGAATCCTAAAGAGGAGAGAAGGCTGTGCAGAGGGCCCCACTACCTGTCCACTGGCATCAAGAAGCAAAGCCACATGAAGCATTCACTTCTGTGCCAGATACCGTTCCAGGCACTTTCCATGGGTCAACATAATTCATGGCCTCCACGGCCCTATGAGGCGTCATGACCGTCCTCACTTCATAGATGCACCAACCGAGGCACCGCACGTGACTTGGTTAAGCTTGCACGACTACCCAGGTGGGGGCTGGATGGGAGCCTGTGATTCAATCACCGTTTCATCCTGCCTCCCTCCAACACTGCGGCAATGTCATCAAATCAATCCATTGATCAGATATTTAAGGGGCATTTACCGTATGCACAACACTGGGCCAGAAGCCATCGGATAAGAGAGAAATGAAGAGTTGGTGGCGGCTTGAGGAGCTTCCTGGCAACATGACACTCTGCATGGGTGGGCTAAGGGCAGGGGCTTCTTCACTCACCCCTGCCCCACTGGAGAACCAAAGGTACAGCCAGGAAAGCCGAGCACCCAGCTCTGGTAAGGAAGGTCTGGGTGCCACCTCCTCCTCCCCTGATTCGCTGATCCGGATCCCGGGCGGTGGCACCAACACTTGGCCTCCCTTTGGGTCCGAGTATCACTTAGGAGACAGAAGGTGGAGTCCAATCAAGGTCAAGGAGGGGGTTCTGCCCGTCTCCCCTTGCCTCTTCCCCAAGCTCAGTGCCCTGCTTTGGGCAGAAGTGGGACATCTGGAGTGTGTGTCTATCCATGTGCAGAACCGGGAGCGGAGGGCCAGTTCCCAACTCCCCTCCCAGGCGAACTGTTCTCTGCCAGGATGTAGCTGTGCTCAGAGAGTTCAACACTGGGAATTTAGGAGGCCCTGGGGCCTGTTCCCTTTACCCTTTACTCCCCTCCAAAGCAATACCAGGAATGCCAAGGGGAGCTCTGGGGACCAGAGGGACAGATTTTTTTTCACCCTCCCCCCACAGTCAACCTCCTGTGGTGGAGGCAGCTCCCGCCCCAGCGGCCTGTCATCCCACATTGCTCTGATTAGCTATAATCTTTCTTTTTCAATTTCTCCTCCCCGAGACTAGGGAGCGAGAAAATCTCCCAGAAAATGAATAAATATTTCAATTTTCGGCGCAATCAGTCTGAGGAGCCGGCGCATGATGGAAACGGGGGGAAGGATAATGGTTTTCATTTAGATAAGATACAGAAAATTATTTAGTGAAAAATGAAGATTGATGAAGCCCATTGAAATTCTTTAAAATGCGATTTTTATTTCTGGGCCTGGGCTGAATCTCCCCTTCCCGGCTCCTCCTCTCTGCTCCCCTCAGTTCTGTGCCTTCTTGGGCCACCCCCCTACCCCTCAGCCCCACGGCAGCCCCCCCGTCTCCCCCCCCCCCCCCCCCCCCCCCCAGTCCCGGGTCCGGGTCCAGAAAGAACTCCTCTCTAAGGATGGAGGCTAAGGAGAGGAGGGGGCCTGCCAAGCCCCCCCTCCTGCATGCTGCCTTCTCCCCAGACCCTTGCTGTCCCCCTCCCAGCCTCCAGCCTGAACACTCAACAGTGATTTCCTCTCCCTCCGGACTATTCCCTCCCATTCCCTTCTTTGGTATCCTCCCCCTACCCCAAATACTTCTGCACACTTTCATGAGGTCTAGCTCTCTCTCTCTCTCACACACACACACACACACACACACTCACACACACACACACACACAGTTGGAGGCCAGGAGGTGGGAGGAGCTCCTGAGTTCCCCAGCCCCCTCCCCCTATCCAAAGGGAGAGAGCCACTGGGCACACACACATTTCTTCCTGACCATTCCTGTTCCCGACTCAGTCCACACGTCGCGACTCCTGTTTGCTAACTGGAGCCTTTTGTTCCTTCAAGCCCGTTCGGATCCATGTTGCTGACACGGGAGGGCTTGGAGAGGAGATGGACAGACAGCAGCTTGCCCCCAACACAGGCCAACGCTGACCCGGCCGCCCCTCCCCCACCGCGCAGCCCTCCCCCTTCTCTCCCTCCCTCAAGGCTTGGCTGAACAAAGTCAGAACTTAAGTCATCTTAAGTCATCTTCCCAACTTTCTGCCAAGTGGCTGGCCCGGCCTGCCAACCCGGAGGCCAGGCCTCCCCTTTCTCCCAGCACCACCTCCCACTCCCACACCACCAGATGTATGTGCCTTCCCATACCTTAAGGGAATGGGGGGGGGGGGGGCTAGGTGCCCTGGGAGGAAAGATGCCGCTAGACCAGCCCCCACCAACTCAGCTGGGCTTCGCCTTAGGAGCGGGGGAGGGGCCTGACAAGGAGAGGAGGGGTCCAGTGAAACACCCCACCCCCAACACACACCCACAAACCAGGAAGGGAGCAGAGAGCTGGGCTATGCCTGAGGCTCCTCAATGCAAACCTTCTTCCCTCTTCTCAGATCTGCCCCCTCCCCAAAAGAGACCACCTCCTCCATTTTGTGGACTCCGTAGGTGTCTGCCCGGGTGACTGTCTGTGCAAGTTTCTTTGTTTCCTCGGGGGTTGATGTGTGTGGAAGTGGGCACCGTGTCCTTGTAATGCCCGCCTGCATACATGAACTGTGTGTGAGTTTGGATGCTGGGGTATACGGATGTGCAAGTGTGAGCCGTTAGGAGGGGGAGGAATCTGTTTCCTCAGATGTGTCTGTGTCTTTGTGTATGTGTCTGTCTCGTGGTGGGGAACGTTGGTGGCTATGTCTGTGTCTCAGTAGGTGAGTAGTCTGTCTCAACGTCTGTGACTGTTTAACGGTGTTTGTGTGTTGATCTCGGGGTGTCAGCCCCATTTGGGGTGGGGGGTGGAGCTCAGAAGGATTAAATTTCCCTTGGAGTCAGACCCAGGAGGCAAGAACCCTTTCCCACTGACCCCAGTAAGAACCCTCTCCCACTGACCCCAGTTCTGGCTGGAGTCTGGACCCTCGGTGTACACACACACACACACACACACCAGCCCTGCTCAGGATACACTAACAACATCCTCATCTCTCTCCACTACCTCCCTCACTTCCCAGCCACTTCCAAATGAGCCCCCAGACAAGAACACTTTCCGGACCCCAAGTGGGTGCCAAATCCCCTTCAGGGCCCCCTCCACATCCACCTGGCCTGAAGCAGAATTTGGAACTCCGCTCCCCGCCCAGAACCTCTCTCTCTCTGGGGCAGCGGTTCCCAAACCCCACCAGAGGCCCCAAGCACTCTCCTTGGGGGCGGGGAGGGGGCAGCCTCAGGCAGCTTGGACCGCGGGTCAGCCTCCAGTCTCCCCACCCCAAGGGCGGGGGATCCCTTAGCATCATCTTCGGGAAACGGGGTCCCCAGCTTTTGCGCACCCCCCAAATCTGGAACCCCACCCGTTTGCAGCTTTTTCTTTAGCCAGGATACAGGGGTGCGGACCCCCGGCCTCAGAAGGGCAAGTGGGTCTGCCAGGGGCTCCAAGAAAGACTTTGGTCGTCCGGGTCCCCTTTTCACTCCGACCCCGGCCCTAGCGGGCCCAGTTCTCCGTTCTCCCGCGCAACCACAGGAAACAACTTGGGCAGATCAACGGAAAACTCCTTGCAGCCAGCGCGGTGACTCCGCGACCCCTCCCCCAGGACTCGCGGTGCCTGGACCCGGCGCCCGGCCGCAGGCACCCGGCTCCCCCGCTCCCCAGCGGCGCGCGGCCGGGGTCCCGGGGTGGGGGCGAGCTTCGGGGGCGGGCCGGGGTCTGGCGGGGGCGCTTACCTTGGGAGAAAGTGTCGGAGAGAGTGAGGATCCAGACGAGGAGGCTCAGCATGCTGCCCGCCCGCCGTGCGCCCGCCCGCGGCTGGGGCCCGAGTTGGCGAGCGAGCGAGCGAGCGAGCGGAGGAGCGGGCTGGGAGGAGGGAGCCCGGAGCCCGCCCCCCGCCCGCCCGCCTGCACACACGCACACACTCACGCGCACAAACTCACTTCCCTTCCTCCGCGCCTCTTTCTCTCTCCTCCCGGTCCTTCTTCTGGTCCCGCCCCCCGCCTCAATTCTCCCCGCTCCCCAGCTGGCGCTCGGGTCTCTTTCGATCTCCGCGCCGCTCGCCCTTCCTCTCCCCTTCCCTTCCTTCCCGGTCTCCCCGTCTCCCTCCCTCCCTCCGCCTGACGTCTACTCTCCCCCCGACGGCGCCTCCCTCCACCAGCCCGCCCCCTGCCCCGCAACGCGCGCGCACACACACTGGCTCCCCTCGCTGGAACAGAGATGGCAGGAGAGCGCAGAGAGGGATCGAGGGCAGAGGCACCCGGGGTACAGCGCGCGGCAGGCGGCAGCTCCGGAGCCCTGGGACGCGCCGGACCCCTGCCCTCCCGCGCCCCTCCCACTTACAGACCCAATCTGGGCTCCCTGGCGCCGGATCTGAGCTGTGGATGGGGTGGGGGGACTTGGACTGAGGACGACCCTCCAGCCCAGAAGAGGATCGTGATGAGGGAGGGCGTGGGAGCGTGTGTGTTTGAGTGTGTGTGGGGGTGGGGGGTTAAAAAGCTTAAAGACCCCCTTTTAAAAAAAAAATCCTGCACCAGAATCGAACCCTTGATTCTCCAAATTAAGAATTCTCAATGGACCAGTAAATGGGACAGTGGGGGATGAACATTCCTCTCCCCACCTACAGAGCCCCAGAGTCTTCTTGGACTGGCCTTGAACCCCCGCGCGGCGAGGGTGGGGTTCTTTTAGCCACCGAGGGGAGGGGGCCGGACCAAGCGTTGGAGTCCTCAGCGGCTGCGAAGAGGCGCAGTGGACTCTTCCTTTGTTCGTCTTGGGCATCTACCCATCCAGAGGGACAGCCAGCCAACTCGACGGCTTCGAAGGGCCGAGGCCTCCGGATATCGTCTCCTCCCGCCTCTCGGGGAAGGCTGGCCAGAAGACGGAGCAGCAGAGGGAAGATCTCTAAGCACGCAGGAGATGGAGATCCTTCGGGGTCGAGAGATGGAGGAACTGGGAGGGAGGGGATTTCTGGTGAGAGTAATGAGGACATTCAGGAGAGGTCTCCTCCAAAGGGCTCAGTGTGGCAACCAGCCCATCTGCCAAGCCTTAACCAAATACTGCTCACAGGGTGCTGAGGGTGCCTGGCGGTCTAAGGGATGAATGGAGGGGAAATAATAGAGGAGCCCCAGGAATTGCACAACTTTACAATCCTGCTGGCCTAGAGAGTTCTGCACCTCTTTTCTTGCAGATTCTAGGTCTCCTGGGTCCCTAACGCTCCCCGCCAAGATTTGTGGATTCGGCCCCGGAGCTAGGGCGCATGGCTCTCTGGTGCCCTCTGCTGGTGAAACACAGCTACAAATGCTCTTTCCTCCGAGAATCCTGACACCCAGCTGAACTGTCCACACTCGTCCACACACAACTAGAGGACACGAGCAGAAAAATGCACAAGCTCATATTCAACAGCACGATATGCACAGACCCAGAGAATCCTCCATATGTTCAAAAGCACATATGCAGAGGCAAACACAATTTAAAAATTTAAAAATAGAACTGTTTCTGAGCCCAGAAATACAAGCAGATAATCCCAGACACAGATACACACCAACACAGACATGTAAGGGTTTTTCATTTATTCGTTAATCATGCATTCAACAAACATTTCCTCAGTGCCTGCTATGTTCTAGTCACAATCCCAGGCTTTGGGGATACCACAACGAAAAAACGTAGATAAAATCCCTCCCTTTTTAGTGTTGTATTCTGGAGGGCGGCAGAGAGAGGCTGTAGAAAAATATATAATACACCAGGTTATGATACACGCTAAGGAATATAAATAAATCAGGATAAAAAATAGAGAGGGAAAGTAGGAAGGGATGAATTGCTATTCTTCTAAGCCGTCAAAGAAAGCTACAGTAACATTTAAGCACATCTGAAGATGCTGAGGTATTCAGATACTCGGGCATTCTAGGGAAGAATGTAGCAGGTAGGTGGTAACAGCCAATGCAAAGGTCCTGAGGTAGGTATGTTCTGGAAGGATCCGTGAGACAGACTTTTCCCATTTTCACACTGAATGAAGGTGCCTGGAGAGGAGGGATTGGGTGTTAGTGATATAGGGACATGTTAAGAGGGAAAGGTCTCTTGGTGAGGGAGGAGCACATCCTTAGCTTAATGCTTATTGCCTGCCACCCAACTTCTGATATTCGGGCTTGATATTTATTCTAAGCAGGAGGAAGCACTGGGCTACCAAAACTTTTGGCTTCCCTCAGTATACAAACAAACAAACAAAAAGCAGTATTGAGACTTTGCCCTGATAAGATGGATTGTTTGGGGGGTTTTGTCCAACCATCAGTATTTTTGGGGGGTAGTGGGTACCAGGGATTGAACTCAGGGATACTCGACCACTGAGCCACATCCGCAGCCTTATTTCGTATTTTATTTAGAGACAGGGCCTCACAGAGTTGCTTAGCGCCTCATAGTTGCTGAGGCTGGCTTTGAATTGGTGATCCTCCTACTTCAGCCTCCCGAGCCAAGCCGCTGGGATTGCAGGCCCGTGTCTGACTAAGCACCAGTATTTTTAAACGTACCCCAAGGGTCAGGGGCTGTGGCATGCCTGTAATGCCAGCAACTTGGGAGGCTGAGATAGGAAGATTGCAAGTTGGAAGCCAGCCTCGGCAATTCAGACCTTGTTTCAAACAAGGCCGGAGAGGTCACTCAGGTAAAGCACCCCTGCGTTCAATTCCCAGGACCAAAATAAAATAAAATAAACATAGCCACAAGTCATTCAAATGGGCAGCCGGAATTGAGAGCCACGGGTGGGAGCAGTCTCCTGCCCTTGGCAAGCCTGTCCACGGTCACCACGGTCGGTGGTCCCCTGCCCTCCTCTGCTCTCCACTAGCATTTCTTCTGCCGACTGCCATCTTGTATGATTCCCCTTCCTTCTAGAGCAACCCAGTGAACGCCCCCAGCTCTGCTCCATCCCCACTCTTCAGTGTTAGCGCTCACAGTTATCTTATTGGATTAACTGAGTCTCCTGGAGTCTAATCGCTGCAGTGATTGTCCATGTCCCCTTGTCTGGAGCTCCCCAAGGGTAGAAGAAGCCGGGTTACCTCCTCCTCATCAGTGAGATAACAGGATGATTGACAGCAAGAAACAGGACACTGAAACCAGACAAGGATTTGAATACAGGTTCCGCCCCGTTGCGGAGTGACTTCAGTTTATATACTTACCCTCTCTGATTATTGGTTCTTCCTCCGAAGACGTGGATAATAATAGTCCTTACTATATGGAGAACTGTGATTGGGTGTTCCCCAAGGGTCCAAGCGGTTAGAGGCTTGGTCCCAGGGCAGCAGTCTTGGGAGGTGGTGAAATATTTAAGAAAGATCCTGTCGGGCGAGAGCACATGCCGGTAATCCCAGCAACTCAGGAGGCTGAGGCAGGAGGATCACAATTTCAAGGGCAGCGTGGGAAACTTAGTGAGACCTTGTCTCAAAATAATAAATACAAAGTGCAGCGAGTGTGGCAGAGAGTCCCTGGGTTCAATCCCCAGTAACACAAATAGAGATTCTTGGGTAACTGGAGAGCGTGCCGTAGTTCTTATGGGTCCCATTGGTAGATCTTACCAGGGGGTTGTTATAAAAGGAGTAAGCCTGGCACCCCCAACTCTCTGGCTTCTCTTTGAGATGCGGTCCCTCACCTCCCCATACACTCCTACCATGATGTGGCACCATCAGCAGCCCTTGCCAGACACCGAAACTTGAACTTGGAACCTTCAAAGCTGTGAGCTAAATAAACCTCTTTGCTTTGTAAGTATCCTGTCTCAGGTTTTTAGTTACGATAGCGCAAAGCTGATTAATACACAGGGTAATGATGAAGACGGAGCAAGTCAATTTACATGCAGTTCTTGGAATAGGGGTAGGTACACAGTGAACACTCAATAAATGCTAGTGGTGATTTTATTTGATTTTCTTTCTTTTTGGTTTGGGAATTCCCCAAAGCAGGGACCTTTTGAATATTCCTCCTGTGGATTTCTCTGGGTCCCAAGCACAGAGCCCAGCCTAGAAGGAAGCACTCGGGTGTGGAAGCGGAGGTTCTCATCCCCAAGGATTACTCCTTCACCTAGGAAAAAAAAAAAAAAGAAAAAGAAAAAACAGTCAAAGGTTATATATGGAGTTAAGAGAAATATTAATAAATTTTTGAGCACAAAAGCAAAAAGAGCCAGAGGTCAGGGAGTGAGCAGGAAGGCAATTTATGACCATCAGCACCAGAAGCCACCCTGAGAGACAGAGATGAATTCTGTGTCTCAATGAGGGCTAAGAGCCGCAGAACAATTCTATAAATTGTCCTCTTTCCCCCAGAGGGGGTGGAGGATCGTGTCCCTGCTGCTGAGGAGAGAAAGAGACAGAGCAGAGAAAGGCCCCGGGTCTTATTTTTCAGCCTGGAAAATAATCCTGACCCTCAAGGGAACCGCAAGTCCCTCGCAGGTGGGGGAGACCTGGGGGAGCCTCCACTCTCTCCTCTGCTGCAGAGGCTGAGCCCTGAGGAGTGGTAAGAGATGCTCCCCCTCCTCAAAAGTCCTCCCAGCAGTCGAGGCCAATCTGGGCAACTCAGGGAGACCCTGTCTCAAATAAAAAATAAAGAGGGCTGGGGATGTGGCTCAGTGGCAGAGCACCCCTGGGTTCAGTCCCCAGTCCAAGAAAAAAAAAAAAATAAGCTCCTTCTCACACCATCTCCATGTTCAGGAGGCTGCATAAAGTCCTTCTGGATATCAGGCCTTGAACCTCCTGCTGCTACACCAATCCCTGTTCCCAGGTTCTCTTTCCCCCTAAGATGCTTGGCTTCCGAGAGATACAAGAATAAGGGCAGAAGCATCAGATCATCGTAGTGCTATGGGGAGAGACAGCGATCTGCACTGTGAA